ATATGCGTGGTCTATGGCTGGAGTTGGAAGCGATGAGTGTTCTTCCAGCAATTACTACAACGGCCACAGACGTCACTGCTTTTCTTCGTGCCATGGAAAGGCAACAGGAGGAGGGTCGGCTCTTCCAATTTTTGAATGGCCTTGATGAAGAATATGCCCCCCTAAGAAGTCAACTCCTACTCATGATTCCTCTTCCAACTGTTGAAACAGCTTGTTCGGCCATTCAACAAGAGGAATCGCAGAGAGAAGTTCTTAAACCTGTCAAGCAAGAAGTAGAGACTGTTGCCATGTTTAGCAAAACAGCATTGGAGCAAACTTGCAATGCTTGCGGAGGCAAGGGCCATTACACTCACAAATGTTTTGAGGTTATTGGTTATCCAAGGTGGCATCCTAAGTTCCGGAAACAGCAGAAGAGTGGTGTTGACTCACGGTCAGCAAGTTCTAAATGGTCGAAGGGAAACACCAAAACAGAGACCAAGGTGGTTGCCATGGCTTCTAAAGGCTCTGATGGTGCCTCTGAATCTGGGTCAGTGACTTTCACAGCCTCACAATTTGACCAATTCATGAAGAAATTTTCTGGTATGACTTCGACTTCCTCTTCTATTGTATCTGAAACAAAATGATGAGTTGGATCATATATTTGGAGGTATGGTAACTTGTTGTAGTGCCTCTCTTGGTTCAAATGTGTGGATTATTGATTCGGGTGCGTCTGATCATATGACAGCCAATATTGATGTAATGCATAACCCTGTTGTAGTGAATGATGTGCCTAGTATTAATTTGCCAAATGGTGCCGTGTCAAATATATCTCATATTGGTAATATTACTCTTTCGAATGGCTTAATGTTGAAAAATGTGTTGGGAGTGCCTGCATTCAAACATAATCTTCTGTCAGTAAACAAACTGAACAAAGATAATGGCTGTAGTGTAACATTTCATTCAGGGTTTTGTGTGATTAAGAATGAAAATGATGAGAAAATTAGAGGTGTGGGCGGACTTCATAATGGTCTGTATTATTTGATGGATATTCCTGCTGAATATATGAGCTTAAATGCCCTGTGTGCTGCCTTTAATGTTGACAAAGCGACGTCTAGTAGGAATGTGACTGTAGTGGAAACTTTCACTCTCTGGCACAATAGACTCGGGCATGCTCCCACGCCTAAACTCAAATTAATTCCAGCCATAGCTAACCAAATAGGGTCGTATGATTGCACATGCATTACTTGTCCCATGGCTAGATTTGTTAAACTGCCATTCACATTGAGTAAATCTGTTGCTAGATGTCCTTTTGAAGTCATACACATCGACATATGGGGACCTTACAGGGTCCATTTCAAAGGAAAGTTCAGATTTTTCTTAACAGTGGTCGATGATTACAGTCGATACACTTGGATTTATCTCTTACAAGAAAAATCACAGTCTCTGAACATTCTGGAAACCTTTGTGATTTATGCAAAGACTCATTTTGAAAAAAAGGTCAAGATTATAAGGTCGGACAATGCTCTTGAGTTGGACGACACCAAAGCCAATCCTTTGTTTGTTGCCTACGGGATTGTGCATCAAACATCATGCGTTGAGAGACCTCAACAAAATGGAAGAGCCGAGAGAAAGCACAAACACTTGCTTGAAATTGCCAGAGCGCTTAGATTTCAAGTCGGCCTTCCTTTGACATTTTGGGGCGACTGTGTCTTAGCTGCTGCTTACATAATTAACAAACTCCCAACACCCATCCTAGCTAATCAAACACCATACCAGAAACTCCACAAAAAACCATCTGCCTATGAAGAGATGAGAGTGTTTGGATGTCTCTCGTTTGCTTACAATCCTGAAATCAAACCTGACAAACTCAGCCCTAGAGGAGTACCCTGCATTTTTTTGGGATATCCTCCGAACACCAAAGGTTATGTGCTCATGAATTTACTTACTCAAAAGAGATTCATCTCGAGGGATGTAAAATTTCACGAGAGCATATTTCCATACAACAATGCAACACTTCAGTCAATTCTTCAACCTGTGCCAACACATACACCACAAACACCACCTACCTTATATTATGAAGAATTTTCGCCAATACAACTTACCCATGAAAACACTTCCCCAATTCCTGAGCCGACATTGAGCCCACTTAAATCCCGTGCAGATCCTTCAACCTCACCTCTGAAACCTCCTTTTCAGGACCCTGAAACTTCAGACTTGCCTGTGATAAGAAGATCTACTAGACCCACTCAAGAACCTGTGTGGATGAAAGACTATAAAAAATTGGCTTGTTCAGTGAGCAATGAACCAGTGTGTGTTGCTGCTTCGAGTAACACTCAAGTGACTCCTGAATTCTGGTGTTTTTTGGCAAATGTAACTAAAGGGGCATACCCTACATCTTTCAAAGAAGCTAGTAAACACCCAGAGTGGATATCAGCTATGAATGAAGAGTTGTCGGCCCTTGAAACCAATGACACCTGGGATCTCACGGATCTACCAGTTGGGCAGAGAGCAATTGGAACTAAATGGTTGTATAAAACCAAACTAAATCCAGATGGCTCAGAGGAGAGAAAGAAAGCTAGACTTGTCATCTTGGGATGCCGGCAAAGGCCAGGGGTTGACTTTGATCAAACCTTTGCCCCGGTTGCAAAGATGACCACGGTGAGGTCATTGTTGGCTGTGGCAGCAATGCAGGGGTGGATTACATATCAGATGGATGTCAAAAACGCCTTCCTTCATGGAGACTTACTTGAAGACGTCTACATGAAAATTCCGAAAGGATATGTGGGTCCGGGCATGTCCATCAGTCCAGAACAGGGGGAGTTCCCAGAGAATCGGGTGCTAAAACTTAAAAAGTCCTTATATGGACTTAAGCAAGCGCCACGCCAATGGTTTGCTAAGATCACTGAGGCCTTGAAATCTTTTGATTACACACAATCCAAGGCCGATTACTCTTTGTTTACAAGACGCTCAGGAAGCTGCTTTGTTGCCGTGCTTGTATATGTCGATGATCTTCTAATTGCTGGAAATAATCAGCAAGAGATAGATAATTTGAAAAATCTTCTCTCCATGAAATTCAAAATGAAGGATCTAGGGAGGCTTAGATACTTCCTTGGACTTGAAATTGAGCACTCGACTTCAGGGATTTTCATATCACAAAGGAAATATGCCCTTGAAGTAATCAGAGAGTTTGGAATGGCAAAAGCAAGACCACTCAAGGTTCCGATGGACACACATGTGAAACTCACACCCACCTTGGGTGATTCTTTACCTGATGCTGAAATTTATCAAAGGTTGGTTGGAAAATTGTTGTATCTGACCATCATGAGACCTGACATCAGCTTCACAGTCCAAGTTCTGGCACAATTCATGCAAGCTCCAACTACGGCGCATCTCCAAGCTGCCAAAAGAGCACTGAGATACCTCTTGAGCTCGCCTGGCAAAGGAATATTACTGGCTAGTCAGTCTGCTGCCACACTCACAGCTTTCTGCGACAGTGACTGGGCAGGCTGCCCAATTTCAAGAAGGTCTACCACCGGCTATTGTGTCCTTTTAGGGGATTCTCCTGTATCATGGAAAGCAAAGAAACAACCAGTGGTAGCAAAATCTTCAGCAGAGGCTGAATACAGAGCGATGGCGCTTACTATCTGTGAAGTAACATGGCTGACTTATCTGCTGAAAGATTTGGGTATCAAAGATCTTGGCCCTGCAATTCTAAAGTGTGATAACAAAGCTGCGATCTCAATTGCTACCAACCCAGTAATGCATGAGAAAACCAAGCACGTCGAAATTGACCAACACTTTGTGAGAGAAAAGGTTCAAATGGGTGCAATCAAACCTTCTTATGTCTCAAGCACAGAGCAGCTAGCTGACATATTGACTAAGATTTTACCAGTACAGCAACATGAATATCTTCTTGACAAGCTTGGAGTTTCCTCACATCCACACCAAGCTTGAGGGGGAGTGATGAGAGGAAGCTGCTTTGCTGTCCATTCTTCCTTCTTTGTCCTGTTGTGCTTATGATGCACCAGCTGTCATTTAGAATGATTAGCTGTTATTAATGATCGTTCCTTTGTCTTTTGTGTTCTTTCCCGTTGGTTTGTCATAGTATATGTAATGAAGAATGTAAGAGCTGAATTTTTGAATCAATGAGAATCAGTGCATTTCTTCCTCTCTAAATTTATCTCTTGTGACTTTTGTCATCATTGTGTACGTATGGTTGAAGAATAATCCATCCACATTTGGCTTTAATTGGTATGCTATCCATCAAGAGGTGATTGAGGTTGTCAAACTCCAATCGTCTCTTGCACCACTAGTGTAGTAGTTCAAATTGGCGCGTGGTTCCTTTATATTTGAATATAAATATAGATATGAATAGCTTGAATTGAGATGACATGAAATTAATCAAATTATTCATCATGTTATTAAAAAAATTTCCATTGTAACATTGCAATCAATTTTATTTTATTTTCGAATTCTTCTGATTATGTCCAAGACTACATTAAATAAAAACACGAAAATTCAAATTGTATACAAATATCCAATTCTATTTACCTTCGGGTATAATTAGATTTGGCGTAATTTCATAAATTTAAAGTTTATTACTCGTACATTTTTTATTTATTTTACAAGTACCAATAGCCTAATGAAGTCTATTGAAATATGGATTTGTATCAAAATTTATGATGGGAATCTTATTATTGTACACTATTATCATATAAAAAAAAAAGAAAAAAAAAAGAAGAAGATTGCAATTATATCATGGAAATCATTCATGCACGTAAAATTGTCGGAGAATCATTGCCATAAATACATATAGGTATGAATTTTACCGTTTACAGATTGGTGAGATTACCATAAACATAAGAGAATATCCTATTTTTCTACCTAATAATACTAGGATTATTACACCATAAAATTACAGCTCTCATTATGGCCTTACTTTTCAAGTAGCTTTTGCTACTAAAGGCGAACATCATATTCGGTCAAATTGTACAATGTTGAGGTCTGTTTTGGAAAAGCAATAGAGAGCTTACATGTAACCAAGTTCTATTAGAAAATGTACGTACCAACAGGGATTAACTTACTATTTCCCTCGTGAGAAGGAGTTCCTAATATTTTCCTTCTTTTTTCTCGTGACATTGGCCCATGTAAGGCGATGCATACGGACATGTCAAATCTGGAATTTGGCCCATGTGACATGACCAATGTAATTCATACAAGCTCATCACACAGCTTGCCCGAGGCCCACGAGCCAAATATGAAACACAAGACAGATTAATAGCACCAGGGTTGACTGTCTGACTTGGTGATACTGAATTGCTGATACAGTTGATCTGAGAAGTTGATAGGTACCACAGTGCCCAACACATTTCAGTCATCGGCGAGGCTTGCTGATGGACGGCAAAGTCGTAACAACACGTATCGGTCTTCACCAATAACCAGCAAGAATAGCCCCATTTGGTCATAGATGAAAGTCATTGGGTCTAGACTAGGCAAAAATACAAGGCCAGTGTAAGGATTACAGGACTTACTGCCACGATTCACGGTTGGAGTAGCTTGGGAAGAAGAGATGTCCTATTTCAAGCAAAATTTTAAAAGTACAATTCATTAAATTAAGCTGTAACATATACGTTGGTTAGCCAGCATTCGATCAGGAAACCAATTCCCTCAACAGCAGGGAGAAGTACAGCAGTCAAAACCCGCCGAGGCAAAAAAAAAGAAGAAACAAAAAACACAACACTAAACTCTAAAACTATGTACAGCATCCTGTGGCTGTAATATTTACACTATTTTGGACACAAGATCGGTATCTTGCACAGATTTTGCAAAGATGATGCACTTAACCAGAAAGAACACCTTCAAATGCAAGTATGCAAATGCCCACTTCTTCCCTTCAAAAAAGAAAAAGAAAAGGATTTTCCTTTTTTCTTTCACTGAATAAAAAAATTACACGGTGAGACACAAAACCATAGTTGCAGGTGATGATGCTGAAACTAACTAGTATATGGTAAGGAAAGCCAAGGGTGCTCAAGCGCTTGTCTTGCTGTAGGGCGCCCTCGAGGATTTATCTGAAGCAAATACCGTAAGAAGTCCATGAAGCCGGCATCAGAAACTGGAAGGTGCTGCTCCAAGGAGGATTTCTCAGGAATTATGTACTCCATTTGATTTGTATCCTAACAAAAGAAATGCTCTGATTAGGTCAAGAATACCATTATATTTTCAAGGGCGGTGATAAATTAGGCTAAACTCGGAGAAAGATGCAAAATTGTAGGGCAGATATATTACATTGGTTCGGAAAAGGAGCTAGTATGTCTATAGCAGTTCACTTGTCCTGAGTAAACTCTATATTCGGAAGAAATTTTTCATACTAAAATTTCTTTAAAAAGCATGCTATGCTGGTGCCGTGTTCAGATAAAGTAAACAATCTTTCACGGTCATAATGGAATTTTTAGAATGGTAACATCATCGCAAAAGTTAAAGGTCAAATAATCACATAAAATCTAGACAGTATAGTCACCAATATGATTTGTCAGTGCATAATATACACCTTCAGATATTGATACAGTTCATAATTTAAAGCACTGGTGAATTGGTGATATAGCTTGATAAAGCTGGTAAACTTGGTAAGAAGATAAACAGCACAAACCTCATTTATATGGAAAAGATCGAACTCCTTGGTGAAATATTTGTGAGTCTCTTCTCCTCTCAATAGCATCTCCAGATCAATAGGACCAAGCAAACTAATCGTGCGGGCCAGCAACATTACAACACCATCATTTGGGAAAAGTACCTAGCAATCCATGTTATTTGTTAGAAAATAGTATTATACGGAGTACATATACATGAGATTAAATGATGCTATGTTATCAGCAAGAAATACAACAAAAATGGACCTACTTAAGGATCCATTTAATCACGGAAGGTAATATTTTCCTCCATACATCATAATTGGAGCATCAATTATGAGATACAAAGAGAAGATGTTGTTCTTAACAACTCTCAACCAAATCAGTTCAATTAATAACAATTATGTTCTTTTCCTTAAACTTTACACCATCTACAACACCCAACTTCATACCAGCTTAACACACCATCCATTTCCAAACAGGCTAACCCCTGATTTTTTTTTTATTATTATTTTTTTTTTCTCTTGGTAATGCACTGAGTAAAGTTTGAAGAAAAATGACCGATAAATAAATATTAGTAATTAAGATATATATCTTGCAGTAAAATATCCACCCAACCCTCCTTTATATGGAGCCTACAATGTACTAGAAGACCGAAATAACTACTTCCCTTGGCCCTAAATTTTCTCGATGAGATTAGGAGTAGAGTAAAGGTGGAATTAAAATGATTGGAAGTGAATAAAGACAGTATAAAAAGGTTTTTTTTTTTTGTTTTGTTTTTTTTTTTTTTTTTTTTTAAAAAAAAAAAAAAAAAAAAAAAGGTGTTACGAAAGAGGAGGCCAAATAGGGTGTATCCGTGTATACGTATGCATCTAGTTGAATTACTGACTATAAATACAAATAGAACTGTGAAGAAGATTTTGCAACCATACGAAAAGAAAACAATGAAGAAAAATAAAGGACAGAGTACTTGATTCTGAAAATCTTATGTATTTCTATCAATTATAGAGTTCAGCTTACCTCACCAGAGCAAAGCTCAGCCATAATACAGCCAAGAGACCAAATATCAATTTTAGGACCATAAGAGAGCCCTAAAATTACTTCAGGAGCCCTATATGATCGAGATTGGACATACAGACACAAGTTGTCAGTCTCGAAACAACTGCTTCCGAGATCAATAACCTTTATTTCACATCTGCTATAGCTTTTGATCAAAACATTCTCAGGCTTCAGATCACAGTGGATGATTCCCAAACTATGCAAGTAATCCAATGCCTCCAAACACTGCCTGGCAATACTCTACAAATACAAGATTTATTACTTAAATAAGCCAAAACACTAGTTAAAAACTGGATAATGGGTTCAATTGATAAATAAGTACCTGCAATCTACTCATAGTAAAATAGGCCTCTCCATCAGATTCCAGATTATATTTCTGAAATTCATATAAATTGGCTCGAAGAAGTTCACAAACGATGAAAAGGTGTTCCTATAAATGAAAAACAGAATTTCTGCAGTTAATTTACTTCATAGAGGGGGAAAAAATTAATTCAGAAATTCTTAGCTGCCATGTCTTGGGATGAATAGCTTACAAACCTGATGGTAAAAGTAATCATAAAGACGTAAAATATGATGCGTATCTGCAGGATCATGCTTGTTGACATACTTGAGAAGTTTAATTTCATCCAAACTTTGATCAAAAAAATCTTTATCATTTTTAATGATTTTTAGGCAAACATCAACTCCAGTTAGAATATCATGCGCCTGAACAACTTTGCTAAAAGCAGCAGAGCCCAGGTACTCAGTAATGTAATATCTTCCCGCAACAACTGAGTGCAAGACAATAGGAAACTCTTTACTCTCTTCAAATCCTGTCCTGTAAATGACAGAAAAAGCTTACATGAGACCTAGAGCATAATCTTACTTTGTACTTAGTGAGCAAGCTTAAGCTATTATTCTTTTCACCTGTCATTAACTTATCTGAACTAATCAAACCTTATTTTATTTAGTTGTGAACTGAAACTTGCATAGCCCTTATCTGCTGAATTTATAGGAGCTTATCTGAACTTATTTTAGTGAAATCACATTTTGTTAGGTGAATAATAACAAAGAAGGAAACGTATTAGGCATACTCCCAACAAGAAAGACAAGTGCCAACCTGTTCTTCCGGTGAATAATTCTTAGGTTAAATACTTCATAGTCATCTTCGTTGGTCTCCCAATATGGAATATCTTCCGGTGTTGTGCTTTCTTGCTCATCAACAGCACTGCTAGGTTCTTCGGTACTTTTAACCACTTCCTTTTCATCATTAGCTCCAAAATCATAAGCGCAGCTGTCAACAAGAAGCAATTCCTGCTTATAAGTTTCAAAGATACTTCTTGAACCATCTAACTCTTCAGCCAAATCCTTTCCATTTCCTTCTACCACAGATTCAGTATTAGAAAGCCTCTGCTTGGCAAAGCTTGCCTCCAACTCATTCAAAATCGTTTCTTTAACATTGGAATCAGAATCTTCACGATCACTACAACCATTACGCCCAAGATCCCACTTGATCCTTACTTCAGTACTGTTTTTCTCATCGAGATGATAGCAATCCTTAACTTGACCATTATCGACAACCTCAGTGGACATCTTATGAGGTTGAAAGGGATAGTCTATATAATGGTGGTCTACTTCCTCGGAATCGTCTGATAAACGATTAAACGAAAATGGACTTCTTGATAGATTATTTACCATCCCAGAAGTCATGACAAACTTATCCTCACTTGGGCAGCCAAAAGGGTCTAACCCACCAAAGCTAGGGGTCATATAAGGTCCATCATCTTTATCATCATACCACAAGTCAGTTTGCATATCAAAATCGTTGTACTCTCTTGCAGTTCCAAACTGAGACATTCTATCTGAGGAAGCATCCGAATCCGCTTGTGTTGTAGAACGTTGTCCATATGGATTTGTAAAGTCTGCAGGAAGCCATGATTTCAGCACAAAGGAGGCACATTATTACATTAATATTTTTGACATGAAGCGAACATTTCACTAAAACGAGTTTCAAATAGTCCTGTACGCCTCTAAATTCCTGGAGACGGCCCTGTTCAAATTTAAACTCATCCATCTTTTATATAAAGTTTCTATAGTATGATCACATTTAAATTGAACTAATTTACTTCTCTAAGAAATTAATCACATCAATTTCTCTATAAACATCTTCTATTTCACTATCTATGTTGTTTGTGTGATCTTGTTAATATTTGCATGTCTCAAATTAGGAAAAGATCAGTCAACAAATATGGTGAGATTAAACAAGCAAAACTACTACTAGTGCAAAAAACTGCATTTCAGCAGGTGACAAGCAATGCTACTAAAGTTGTACAGAATACATATTTCTTTTTGCTTTGGATGCCAATTAGCCTAGTTCGTTAAAGTCTCAAACTACTAGAGCTCAAATCTGCATAGTGCTTGGTGACATGCAATGCCACTATAATTGAACATACATGTTCCTTGTCTCAAGACGCCGATTTACTAGCTTAGTTCGATAATGCCTCGAAACTAGTACTAAGACCTAGGATTGAATTTCGTCTACATCACTGCCTTTGTGTCACTCCACACACCAAACAAAAACAATTAAGTAATTGTATTTTGATTTTTTTTTTTTTTTTTGGACTAAAACAATCAAACACCATTGAAAGATCAATAAATGATTAATCAAGGACCAGCATTGATGATCATTAAACATGGACATAATGGATTACACTCCTACATTTTAGAGGACAGTTAAATTCAGTAATGCATTAAATAAATTTACTCCTGAAAATTAGTTATCTTGCTAATTTAAGCCAAACACTCTATCAACCAACAAATTGACTTATTCAAATTTAAGAACATTAAAATCATACTAACCACATAAAAATTGAATTTTTATATATAAAAAAACAAACCAATAATAATTATTTTAAATAAAATAAAATAAACCTGAAGAACAGACAGCACTGACAGAAGTAGACGAGCCCAAACTCTTAAACTCATCATCCCCAGAAGAATCATGGCCCGACCCAGAACCCGAAATAGGCCCAATTACGGCCCGCCGGCGAGAATTGACCGGAAGTTTAACCGGCGGCAAAGGTGGGTTCATCGGAAAAAGAAACTTCTCGAAATCATAAGACCCATAAAGTTCCTTCTTTTCAGTAAGATCCTGTTTTAAGGCAAATTCAGCTTCTGGGAAATTATTTTTGCGGAAGAATTCCAACAAAGCTTGAACCTCCATTAAAGAAGGAAGAAAAAGATAGAAAATTTGACAAATTCTTCGAAATTTGAAAATGGGAAAATAATATAAAATACAATATATTTGATAATAATAAAAAGTGAAAAAAGGGGACAAGAAGAGTCATAGGTGATGATGATGATGGAAGAAGGAGGAGAGAGAAAGATGGTAAGGGGTCAAAAACATAAAAGCAGGGATTTTTTCTTCATAGAATCGAATCGAATGATGCTTTAATTTGTATAGTTTTTTTTTAATTATATTTTTGGTGTATTTTGGTAGTTTCGACTAGAGAAAGAGAAAGAGGAAGAACAAGTAGTAGTAGTAGTGTTGTTTGTTTGTGATATGTAATAGAAGTTGTACTAACATTCAAGACAATAACGGGAGATTTGAGTTTTTTCTTCACCTACTTTGAATAAAGATGGTCCCAGTGTTGGCTTTTCTTGCCTTTTTATTTCCTTCCTCGATGGTGTGGAGTCGAGTTCATGATGTGCATTCTGTTTTCGAGTAGATATGCTTAAAAAATATTACGGAGCATTGCTTATTCTACATGTTTTAGATTACGTCACATAATATTATAATAGAAATCCAGTTCTAGTAGTTTAAATTTGATAACAAATGGTTTACATATTTCAAATGTATGGAGTATAATTTATAATTCATCTTCAAATATACGGAGTATATCTTAAGATCGTGATATGTATATTTCATAATATTAGAGTTATGTACTCATCAAGGATTATGATGCACATTAGATTCTCTAGTGCATGATATAATGATTGAGTTTGGGTTAGCAATACATTATTTGAATAATACAACTTGTCTATGCCGACTTACAAACCCATAAGAATTTTAACGAACAAAAGTTCATTGATCATCTACATCAAATACTATAGGTAGATAAGAATAGTTAAAACACACAACAGTGATCAAAGGTCGATAAACTTGAAAATAATATTATTGGTCGAGCTTGATCGGATTATGTTTGGGACTAAAACTAAAAAAGAAAAATTAAATGACTTTTTGAGCATAAATTACACTTAAGGTTTGAACTAGACATGTAGTATTAGTATAATGCTATTTTTTTTTTTTGACAACAGGGCTAAAAAAAACACAGCAAATAAACCTAGGCAAAAACTAAAATACAAAATACAGTAACTGACGACGACGAGCACAACCCGCCAACCAGTGAGCTGGAGACACCCAGGAATGAGGAACCTTACGGACTTGACAAACCAGGAGACTCTGAATAGAAACCCACAATTCCTGAACGAGCCAAAAAACCGAAATGTCCATATTCCCCTTACGAGGAAGGACAGCCAACAGAGCAGCACAATCCGTGTATATGCGAATTTTCAAAAAACCCTTACGCAAAGCATACTCCAAACCCCATAAACAAGCCTGTAACTCCGTCTGCAACGCCGAGGCAGCAAAAAAAGCACGGCATCCACCCCCAAGTACCTCTGAAGAATCAATCTCCCGAATTATCCAACCTGCACCTGCTCTATTCGATACACAATCCCAAGCACCATCTATAACCAAACAGACAATGGGATCGATAGCAGGTAAACCCTGTAAGGATAATAGCTGCCCTGACTGACTTGCCACAGGAGGAACCACATTGGAAGATAATACCTAAGCCTTCCAGCATTGAGCACTCTTACTACGAGTCTTCCAATCAGTAGCTAAGTGGACAATGGATTCCGGTGACCAAACAGTCTGACGAAACCGTAACTAATTGCGAGTAACCCAAATAGCCCACAATATAGCAAAGAACGAAGAGATGCCATCCCAATTGTGGAACTTCGAAAATTGGGACACCGTTCGAGTTACCCAGTCCTCAAATTGCGGAAGATGCATAAAATCCCATCTAATATCCAAGACACCAGATCTCCAAATACCACAGATAGCAAAACAATCTCGAAACAGATGAGAACGAGATTCTTAAAGAGTGACAAAAGGCACATGTAGGATCAATAGGAAGCCCTCGAGTAGAGAGAATGGCTGCTAAAGGCAACGCATTGTGTAACAATTTCCAACCAAAAAGTTTCCAACGAGGCAAAATTGGCATAGCCCAAAATTTTTTCCACCGGGGAAGAAGAGATTGAGAATCCACATTACCCATAGAACCATTCCCGCAAATATTAGCATAAGCAGATTTAGTTGAGAAAACACCATCCCTAGTAAACTTCCAATAGACAATGTCATCCATCAAACGCACCGGTCTGTCGAGCGAGAGAATTTTAGCCTCTGTATCAGAATCAAACAGGCCATGAACAGTAGAAGCATCCCACGCGTATCGGATCAATTAAAGAGGAAACAAGAGTCGGACAAAGCGACTCCAAATTGTGTAAGTACAATGCTAGTTGAACTATACTAAATTCAAATCACAATAACATGCTTGCTTAACTTTTAACATGTTATAATCTTTAGAATCTTTAATTTATTTTATGTCTTATAGATTGGTGCAACATTAACTCATTTAGGTGAGTGTGTTACTTACTGCACTTAATCAAGAAGCTAGGAAAAGGGAGAATATAATTTTTATTAGTTGGTATTGCTTTTAATATAAAATCTAAAGTTTATATCTTACAAGTCACAAGCGATAGGTAGAGCCGTAGAGAGATCATGTTCAACTTGAGAGATATACTATTATATTCTTCACTGACAAATAATATGCACATTGAATTCTTTGGCAGTTTTGAGTTGCACATATTGACATATATTTTACTATTTAATAGTCAACTTTGATCTTGATATTTTCTTTGATTTAATAACAAAGTGATCTCAATATGTATAATTCAATATGCACATAACCATTTGATTAGATAGTTCTACGTCAATTCATTCATACTACGGAACTGATTGGAGCTGAATTGAATTGAAATGAACTGAAATAATTATTTACAAGAGAAGGAAAATAGGAACTGAATTAAACTGATTGGAGCTGAACTAAACATGCCCTACGTATTTACTACAAATAGTAAATGTAAATATCTGCAAAATTTTGACACTAGCACTCAAATTGTGACCTAGTGATTTATAATTAAGTTACTCGATCTCTTCATCCTTCACCTCATATTTAAACATCTAACATATAAATAAAAATTAATTGGAAGTGAAGAATTATTTGTACCAATTTGTACAAGTACACTCTCTATCTTTGTTGAATTTTACATAAAATTTAATATATATATTCATTTGATTACTTTGTACTTCGTATCAATTTTAACATATACATTAAGTCTGGGGCCTTTTGCCCAAGCAACCAGACTTAAGTATGGGGTTAAAAGTTAAATTGATTATTCCAAGATTAATTTTGTTTTTATTCTTGTTTCAATTGTTAATTTCTAAGATTAAGAGCTGTTGTAAAATAAAGAAAAGGGTATAAAGTTGGAAATACCTACTTAATTACTTATACTACAACTCAAGTATGAAACAATTATCAAGAAGAATCGTGTAGGAAATTGATGAATTGATAGAACAACTCCTTCCTTAAGTTAAAAGTTTTCATTTCTATTAACACGTTAGTTCAATTCAATGAACTTTCTAATTTAGCTGAATTAATCAAGGTTAATTTTGTTTTTTTGAATGAGATAAAAGAAGTAGAAATAATCTCGTTTTCAAAGATAATGACAGTTGGGCTGATACAGATCCTACATCTCGGTCATTTGACTCGTTTTATAGTTATCTTGATTAAATTCATGTCGTTTGGTTGATAGTTGAGAAGTCAAACCTTGTCCTTTGGTGAACCATAATAATTTAAACAATCGTTGGTGTCACATTAGAGAAAATTTCTGTACATTTGATAGTGAATTTGAAATTTAGGATTTAAGTTTACTCTTATGTCTAATCGTCTTATGACTAGTTATGGTATCAACGTAATCTGCAATAAATTTTGCTATAGTTTAGTCAAAATGATTTCGATTTCAAATTAAACATAAATGTTTGACAATATTATGCATCTAGAGCTCTGCTCACAAATGTGTCACAACAATATCTGTTTAAAGTTAGCTTTGAAGATAACAACTTAAACATCATAGCTAATGAAGCAAATAGATTAAGGGTCTGTTCACATTTAATGAACTGAACTGATTGGAGCTGAACTAAACTGAAATGAATATTTTATGAGAGAGGAAAATTAGGAGCTGAATTGAATTGAACTGAACTGATTGGAGCTGAACTGAACTGAATTGAACTAAACTAAACTGAAGTGAAATTAAGTAAATGTGAACAGGCCCTAACTGAAGCTAATGACAATACGTACATAGCTACTTAAAGCCTTTGATTCAAATTAAATTCAGAATAAAGTGATGAGCAAATGTAAGAAAAAAGGTAAGGTAATAAAGTAGGAGAAACACAGTAATTAAAATGGTTAGTGACTAACAGACTGACTGTAAGCTAAGAAAAGTGTATTGTATATAATACCTCCGGTCCAAATTACTCGCAACTATGAGGTATTATTTGTGAGATATAAAATATTTCAAAGTTGCGACTAATTTGGACCGGAGGTAGTAGAATAATAAGAGGGTGATGAAGTTTAAGAAAATGTGGAGTAAGATTAGAGAGTTTAGATACTAGGTTTGTCAATATAAATAAAATTTAAAATTTAATGTAAGATAACTAGAAAAATAATACGCGTACAAAACTAAACTTAATATAACTTAATTAATAAATTTAATAGAACCAGAAAAAAATTGAAAAATATTGTTATGGTAGAAGCTAGAATATGCAAGTGATAGGTAGAACAACAAAGAATTTATGTGATATGCTAAAACTTTGGATGGAGAAAGAATAATTAGATTGCTCATTAGTGAAGGTGTAGGTTTTAATTACTTGATGCTTCCTCTATCTCTCTTCTCTATTTTAATTATTATTTTTTTATTATTTAAGTATTATCATCTTCAATTCACTATATATATGTTCTTTTTCTTTGGCTATAATTTACGTACACTTTACAGTTCATAAATGCATTTTTCAACTTTTAATTATTTTTATAATTATTGACATTGTGTTGTTAAAGCTATCAAATCAAGCATATACATGATGATTAACTTAATTTATAAACTACAAGTAGTATGTAACATAATAATGGGATATTATTGCATATAATTCAATTATTTGATATTGAAACAGAAAATAATGAATCCTATATATAGCATTATTATTAATATAATGCTTGATCAAGAAGTTTGATTTGTCAGTCCCATCAAATTAAATTAACAAAGTGATCGAACCGCATGTGCATTTTATGATCTACTATTACTTGGTCGGGCCTATTTGATTAATAGTAGTATAGTACTAGTTTCATTCATCATGCTCTATATATACAATTATATTTTCTAATAAGGAGAGTTTAATTAGATTGTATTTAGTTTAACTTTTAGATATTATCTTTAGTATACAAAAATTCATCATATATATAAGTGTATGTGTGTG